ATCAGACTGTTTGCTCTCTACCAACTTGGGGAAGTCCTTGCTTGGTGTTTCAAAATTACACTAGGGTAGCTATCTTAGTTTCCTGATAATCTTCCCATTTCATTTTTCTAAATTATGATTTTATTAAAATCGACAAAATATAAATAGTTTCCATCTTTGCTCTAGTTCTCTTAGAACTTTACCTTAACTTATGAAAGGGTGAAAACCCAATTGGTGCCTGTCTGTCTAGACTAGACAAATAAAACATCCAGATTAGAAAACTCTCATGCCTCTGGAGAGTCCAGACAAATCATATCTTCTCATAACATACCAATTCTTTCTTAATTATCTTGAACTAAGTCCAATTTTTTTCAAGTCTACAAAGAAAATCAATGATGAAATAATGGAGACAGATGAATTCCATTTAGTTAAGCTCTTTTGAATCTTCTTCAAGTGGTCACCTCTCCTCCAGTACATAGTGGCTGGCAGTTGGCAGGGGGCTGCTGGGTTGATACCACTTCTAGGTCAGATTCACGAACAAAAACCACCGCATCCCCACTGACGTTGATAAGACACTGTGCCTAGAGGAAAGCGAACAGCGCAGGTTTAGTTACCCTCAACAGTGTGCCCGTATCCTTACGTGACACAGGAGGTAGTGCTGTATAGCCAAAAAAGTATAGGTTTGTAAATCACTAGGAAAAAACAGACAACCCTTTTGAAAAATGAGAAAAGGTAAGAAAGGCAATTCATAGAAGTCCATAAATGTGTAAAAAAAAGAATTCAAGCCTATTATTAATCAGATATGCAAATTAAAATGACAATGACAGACTATTTCATATACATTGGCAAAAGAAAAAAAGCGTAAAATTTGGCCAAGACATGGGGCAACTGCAATTCACTTAACAGTGTTGGAGGAAATGGAACCACCCTGGGAAACAATCTGGCAATATCTCATAAAGCAGAAGATATGCACTTTGACCCATCAATTTCACTTCTATATGTATGAAGACATTTTAAACTGTGGAATATTCATGTCTGAAATACTATATAGAAATGAAAATAAATAACCTAACACTCCCTCAGTATAGGTACATCTCATAAATGTCATGAAGAATTAACAAAAACAATTTGAAAAATGATATAAACATGATAAAACCATTTGTTTGATTAAAGAATGTGCACAATAATCTCAATGAAAGGGAACTTTGATAATATCTGTGAAAATTACAGATATATTACCGGTATATGCTTTGACCTAGCAATTCTACTTTATAAAGAATTCTCCCTAAAGATATACCCACACTTGTGCTAATCACTTACACCTCACCTTATTCTTACAGCACTGTACATATTAGGATAACATTTCCCAGGGGACAACCTAAAAGTTTGTCAGCAGAGAACTAGTTAGAGAAATTCTGGGTGATCCGTATCGTAGAATGTTATGTGGTTGTAACAAACAATGAGGATGATCTTTATACCCTGAAATGGAAATGCTACCAAGAAAAATTAAGTAAAAGAGCAAGCTGTGGAACGGTGTGTACAGTAATACTACCATTTATGTTAGAAGGGGGATTAAAATATATACTTGCTTGTATGTATCTAAAAGCTCTTTGGCATACTACATACTTTGGAAGGTTATATCCATAGAAGTAACATAAAAAAACAAACAAACAAAAAATCACAGGGCCAGCAGGTGGCATAGTGGTTAAGGCACTGGACTCTTACGTGGCTGTTCAAGTGCCAAACCAGGTGGCTTGAAAATCACGCCAGGCATTATGTGTGTGCCCAAAATCCCAGGAGGAGAATGGAGAAGAAGGCATTATGGCGTGGCCATCCCTACCACCCCGGGGGCGGATAACTTCTCACTTTCCCTCTCAATGTCTCTTTGTCTCTCTCTAGCAAGCCCACGTGCCCCAAGGCAAACACTCGGGGGGGAAAAAAAGGCAGCAAAAAATATCACCAACTTTGGTTGCATATGACGGTTACTAAGGTAAGAAAACAGTATCTGACCTATGTATGTCCACGGTCATGATAAATTCATTAAAATAGGTTCTAGGCATTTGCAATCAAAGAATTGTGAAGAATAATTCCTTTAGGAGGGGGGTGGGAGCAGGCAGTTAGGGGGAGATTCCCAGAGTCTCTGAGATGTTTGATTGCATCTCACCTGGTTTTTGTTCGGATTCTCCATGAAGACACACTGCTTCATTATGTAGGAGACAACGGCATTCCCTCCCAGTGCAGCGACGTGTGCTCTCACCATCGCAAACACTTCAGCAATGAAAGCGTGGAGAAAGCCACTGACGCCTCCTTCCTGCATAATTCACAGGAAAATCATGCTACATATGTACATAGGAACGCTTATAAAATGTCAAATACATGTTAAAACATCCTAAATTGTCTTAATAGAACGGATAATTTCAATTCCCCTCATGATGAGGATTTATTGCATGAACAAACAAACGAATTTTACTGAACACCTGTCTGGGTAGGGATTTATTATCCTTGTTTTACAGATGATGAAAATGAAGCTCAGACTGTAATTTGCTCATGTCTAGCTAGGATCATTACATCCTAGTTAGCAAATGGCAGAGCAAGAATTCAAACTGTGCCTCCACCTTCAAAATCTTCCTCCATCAAATCATATTCATCATCATTCAAATAAATTGATGGCAAACATAAGCAAAAAAAAAAAAAGAAAAAGAAAAAGAAATCCCTGCTATTCCTACCTCTCATTAGGAAACATGTTCCAGTCTCACTGGCCTCTGTGTCAGTTTCTCAAGTGTACTTTTCCTCCTTCAGGTCATTACATATGTTCCCAAAGGCTCCCCACTCAATTTCCCAAAGGGCACTCTTATGCCATTCTCAGGTCCCCGTTTAACTTCAGGGATTACTTCGCTGACTGTCAAATCTAAATTAAGTTCACCTATCATATTCCCTGATGGCCTCTGATTTCTTTTATTACTTATCATCCCCAGTAGTTATATACTAGTTAAATGATTATTTATTTCATGTCCACTGGGCTCCAGCTCCACTAGACTGCAACTTCCATCAGGTAGGAACTGCATTAGTTTTGCATACAACTATATACTAATACCTCATTCAATAGGTATGTGTAGGAAATATTTCATACTTGTCAGGGAATAAAATTCAGTAATTCCAATTTTTTTTTTCCCCTGTGTTCAAATACAAGCAAAACAGAAACCAAAGGCTAGTTTAACTATAAGCTTAAAATGCTTTTATGGGGCCAGCAGGGGGCATGATAGTTAAGGTGCTGGATCCCACATGGTTGACTCTACAGTTCCACTCTGGACCCAGAAGCTTAAAAACACACTAGGCGAGGACCAGCAGGTGGCATGGTGGTTAAGGTGCTGGATACTCGCACATGGCTGACTACAGTTCAGTCCCAGACCTGGTGGCTTGCTTTCTCACTTTCTCTCTCTCTCTGTCTCTCTCTGGTCAAATTTAAAAAAATGAGTGAAGAAATAAGATTAAACACACACACACACACACGGCACATATGTGTGTGTGCCTCTGACTTTTTGTTTTATCTAAAAACTTAATAAATCTTTAAAAAAATCCATCTAATAATTAAAGAATATGTCAAAAGCCATGCCTTCATTTATACAAACACACTGTTTACTCTGTGTCAGGTACTCTGCCAGATGCAGGGAAGTAAGCACGATATTAAAGAGAGTATGCAGGGGACCAGCAGATAGTATGGTAGCTAAGGGCACTGGACTCCCACATGGCTGAACACGGCTTGAGTCCTGGACCCGGCAGCTTACTTTCTCACTTTTTCTCTCTCTCCCTTCCTCTCTAGTTAATAAAATAAAATAAAATAATAAAATAAATGAAAAGAGAGCATGCAGGGAACCAACAGATGGCATAATGGTTATGTTGCTAGACTCCCATATGACCAATCATGCTTTGGGTCCCAGATCCACAGGCTTGAAATTCATGCTAGGCACATGTGCATGCAGGACAAAAATCCTGAGAGGAGAATAGGGAAGGGATTGTGGTGTGGCCATCCTCCCTGTGGAGTGACTTCTGGCTTTTCTGTCTGGTGAGTGCATGTGCCCTCTAGCAAAAATCTCTCTTAAAATAACAAAAGAGCACATGTAGGCTGCTATATCTAAGGAAGTCTACAAAAGAACTATCTGGTGAAGCACTAGAAAAAAAGAACAGCTTAGTAATCTTTATAATGAACATACTTAAAAAAAAATGAAACTGCTGTTAAAGTAAAATCTGAAGAGATTATTAGGTTTTCTATCTCAGTAATTAAAAATTTTTTACTCACAATACTAATTTTTTAGCAAGCTGTTCCCTAACACCACATACAATATAAATACAATGTTTTTTCCTGAGTCTAAACTTCTGGATTAGGAAAGACACAAAAGTCTGACTGATTCTGAACTTTAACCACATCAAGTGGTCAATGATACCACCATGTGGTAAGAACTTGAAGAAATGACATTCTCAGACACCGTTGGAAAGGATGAAAATGAGCAGCTTAATTCTTTTTCAGAAAGAAGAAAAAACAGAGTTGAATTCCATAAAATATTTCCTTAGACATATCTATAATATCATCCTCTATTATTGCTAAGTGTGATTCCTTAAAGTTGTTATTTAAATATATTTTAGGCAAATAACTACTGAGAAAACTATGCTGTTTTTAAGGCTGTTTTAAACCTTATTAAACACAGATAAGTTTTTGAGAGAGAAATTTTTGCTATGAGGCATGTGCATGTGCCAGAAAGACAGAGACAGAGAGACAGAATGCAAAAAATCACTCCCTGCCTCCCCTGGGGGAATGGCCACATCACAATCCCTTCTCCAATCTCCTCTGAAGATTTTGGGCATGCATACAAACACACCTGGCCTGAATTTCAAGCCACTGGGTCAGGGATGCAAACCATAGTCAACTACGTGGGAGTCCAGAGATGCAACCATTATGCCATCTGCTGATCCAATAAATGTATTTGTTTTATTTACAATCAATTTTAGAATCTAAAATTCCTAACAGTAAGTGGGTTTAAACCTAACGTAAGTCTTGTGGTAATACCACCTTCTATATGAAATGTGGTACATCTAATATAGAACCAATCCAGACAGGCTATTAATAATATAAATAAACAATCAAAAAATAAATATCATCTATATTTATAAAAATAATTTCTGGCAAAAAAATTTTATTTTTTTTTAACTAAACCTTTAATCAGAGAAAATTAAACAATGAAATAGCTTCTATAAAATTACCTCACGAAGAGAAGTAGTTTCCCTAATAAAAAACATGTTAATTATCCCAAGATATTTAGTTATTTTTGCTCCAGGTATGAAAGAAAGTGGTGTCATCTTAACAACCCCAACTGTGGAATTTGCACAAGGTGGAGCAGCGCGATTCCGGAAATTTCCTTCACCCATCGGACTGGCTTTTTCGACTGTCACGGCTAAAATTGGAAGAAGGAAAAAAAAAACATTAAGGACTGATGCTAGTGAATCCATTGTTCCCTAAGTTTTCCAAATAAGTGGTGACAACATTCAGCATCGGTGAGGCTAAGCCATGTCATGAGAGAAATTAACATGCACTGCATGCGATTAAAAAAGACACAGAAAGAAAAATGGAAGAGGAAGTGCTGAAATGGAATTCTTTTGG